AATATGAATACAATTATTCTCTCCAACAGAGCATGGCCACGGGCACAGCCATGGAGGCGGGGGCCACGGCCACAGCCACGGCGGCCATGGACACAAGAGCAAGTTGTCCACCATCAACACCCTCGTGGCCACAGACGACAACGAGAACGACGAGAGATTTACTCCCCCGCCGCCCAATTCCGTCGGTGCTAACGATAAGCATGGAAACGGCACGCCCAGAAGGGAGGCATCTGCTCAGATGAACATGAGGGGCGTCTTCCTCCACGTTCTTTCGGATGCCCTAGGTAACGCTCAGGATCTGTCGCACTGTCACTTGTATTGTGCTCTTTGTTTCCTAGTTGGTAGAGAAAAAAATCTATAATTTAAACCCTAGTAACAACTTAGAAACTACTGGTTAGCAATCAGTACTACATTTGATTTTTCTTGTATATTACAGGCTCTGTGATTGTGATCATCAGCGCACTGGTCGTATGGCTCACAGAATGGGAATATTCCAAATACATTGATCCAGCACTATCTTTAGGCTTGGTCACCCTCATCACCTGCAGCACGTGGCCGCTTCTGAAGGACTCGGCCCTCATCCTTCTCCAGACAGTTCCTACTCACATTCAGGTACTGAGGGAAACTACTTATGACTGAATGATTAGTTTACAGTAATTAACCCGCTGATCTGGAATTTTGTATAGTTATATTCAGTTTAATATTAGATTTAGCAGTACATGGCAAAGAGTGAATTGAACAGAAGAGAAAAGTTTTATAAAGTGTATTTAATGAAAATTATTTTAAAATTATCATTTACTCCTAGGTTGACGGCATCCAAAAACAGTTGTTAAATGTTGATGGTGTTCTTGCTGTGCATGAATTCCACGTTTGGCAGTTGGCAGGGGAGAGGATAATTGCCTCAGCTCATATCAGGTATGATTTTGGTATCTGGTTTAAATCTTTTGTGTAGCTTTCATGTAAATTAATGTTTGTTTGTATGCAATCATGTTAGATTTGTTCACTGTTTATGAGTGTAATTATTCAAATCTAACTAAAGAAAAGATGCAGAACATATAAAACATTTGTAGTGATTAAAACAATGTTTTTTCTTTTACATGTCTCAAATCATAACTTTCACATTCATTCAAACTTTTTATATAATTCATTAATATTTTTTGTTCTTGCTGAATGTCAAGTAAAATTAATCATGGTGTTATTTAATGATGAAATAAGCTGAGAAGAGGTATGTTAGGTCATTTTGATAGTTCTGTATAATAGTACTATAAACAGATATATATATATATATATATATATATATATATATATATATATATATATATATATATATATTTAAAGTATATTTTCCATAACAAAATTACATTTTTATAGTACAGTAAAGTTATTGAAAATATTCATATGATTTGGAGTACAGCCCATATATATCTGCACTTGATCCATGATCTGATTAGTTTATTAGTTAGATTTATAGTTATGTTATTACTGATTTTTTTTTTTCAAAAAGAGAAGAAATAGATGTTTTAGTGAAATTCTTGTCTTTCAGATGTCGCAACTTGAAGGACTATATGGTCCTAGCAGAAAAGATCAAGAAGATGTTCCATGAAGAAGGCATTCATTCCACTACTATACAGCCTGAGTTTGTGGAGTATGAAGATGATGGTGCCTCAGCCTCAATAGACTCTGCCGAAGACTGTATTCTAGACTGTCCCTCCAAGGACAAGGACGGATGTGTGGCAAATACCTGCTGTGGTCTCTCCAAACAGGTAAAGAGTGATTCCAACAAGGAGCTTAGGCTCACCAATGCCAAGAAAGATGGATCTCCTTCCACTTTTGTGAAGGACCTGCCGCTTCAACAAAACGTTTCCTTCAGCCTGCCTGACATTTCAAAAGTTCCTTCTGCATGCTACCCCCAGTGGACTCCCCCTGGTGCTAATGATAATGCTTCTCATGATAATGCTAGTGCTGTTAATTATAACTGTAATGCTTCTGTAGTAGATTCAAACCTAAACTCTGCTCAGGATAATTGTACTCAGATTTATACAATTACAGACAGTAAAGGTAACATTACAAAAGAACAAAGAGTAATGTTAGATAGTGGTGTTGATTTAAATGAAACTTATAGTGACTCAAACTCTTCCGTAAACCAAAGAAACACTCAGAATAGGGATATAAGAAATGATGACTCAGATTCAAGCAGTTATGCCTCTTCTGTATCAGTTGCTATGGATGGTACAGATTCTGATGAATTACCAGCATCTGTCAGATTGTAAGCGAGTCATTTGCTATGCTATATATAGGTCTTTCATTAATTTGTTAAAATTGACTTCATACTCATTTGTACCATAGGTTTCGTACACACGTTTCATCGTTTCATTATTAAGTCAGTATGTGGATGCCTTTTTTAGTGTTTAGTTTGTTAGTATCATCCATATTTGGTGTACATGGCCTTGCCTGAGAAAATAGATTTAATAATCTTTAAGACATTTAGTTTACTGATGAAGGTGGTAGTGCATAGACATAAAATAAAATACCTCATCGATAATAGGTAAGTTATATTATTACTGAGAAATGAATTATTTGATTAGCAATTTAGATTTTTTTAAAGTCCACTCTTCAAGTTTGTTATTTCTCATCTCTTAACATGGCTTGACTATTTAAAGAAGAGTTTTTAAACTTTATTAAAGAAACTGTTGGGATATAACTATTCCTTGATTCAGTGAGATATTTTTCTGTGATTACTGAATAATTTTAGAAATCTGAGTACAAATAGACTAGCATTGCATTATGTTTGTGTTGTACATGTTGATATGTGTCCTGAAAACACTGATGTTGTTTCGTCTATTACTTTATGACTAGTCATTGTTTGTGTTTATTGTTTTTACGTCTGTCCTGTGTATGTTTTGTTTTATTGATTGCTAGTATTTTTTGTTCATGAAACTTAGGTCACAAATCATATCAGAGTATATCAGATTATCTGGTGTGTAGTTACCAATAAGAAATTATCAGTTTCATGTATAGATTTACAAATAATACTTCTTTAATATGCCTGTTTTTGTGTTTGTCAGTAATGTGTAGATTTGTGCTTTTTTCTCTTTCTGTCTTTCTTTTTTATTAAATTAGATATTTTAATGTGTCTGTGATAATTTTTAAAATTTTATTTAGATTAATATGTCAGTTTTAATGTTATTTAAATGTGATATAACAGTGTATTACTAACAGTTAGTTTTAGTAGCCTGTGTAAATATAGATTTTATATTAACTATGATGCATAAACTGTTATGCAATTAATACATGAGGATAAATGAGACTTATCAAGTTTTTTTTATGTTATTGCATGCTTGATTTATTTACTCTTTTCTCTATCTGTGATGATTTTGATGTACTCATATATCTGTTTCATATTTATTCGTGATTATTCCCCTGCCAGACAATGATAAAGAAACAATATGTTTCATTTTTCCACATATATCTAACTTATTTTTCAACTGAATGTACGTATGAAAAATCATTTACCAAAGTATGGCCCAACAGTGCTATGAAGCTATGTATTATGAGGCCATAATTTTCAGCAAACCGTCAAGACTACAGTCATACCAAATAGGTGATCCTACATTCACTATTCACAATATGAAAGATAGAAGACATTTTAAGAAAATTTGAATGGTGGATATATCCCAGGTAATGGATATGACTGAAAAACATGAGTGTAACATATGAAAGTTTATTTCATGACTGACTGTTCAGTCATAACATACATACTGACACACCTGCATGATGGCTTCATTTACTAAAAATTGGTTGCTTGCATAACTAACCCTGCAGATTTGGTTGTGTTGCTTTTTTACTTTATTAAAATTATGGCTTGCTTGTTTAATACATTTGCTGTATTTGTGTTATTAACATTTTAAAGATCTTTTTTCATTTTATATATATATATATTTTTTATCATAATGATAAAAAAAGAAAAAAAATGTGCAAACATGCTCACCAAACTGTATTTCTTATTTCTTTCAGTGATATTTTAGTGGATGCTACATTGTTGTCTGTTTGATGTTAACGATACTTGTTTGCCTTTTGTCTACAAAGAAAAAAATCCTGATCTGAAAAATATGACAGACATTTGAGAAACATTCAGGCGTGTAACATTGAAGTACACTTTTTACTGGATTGTGTTTGTGTCTGTGTGTGTGCATGTGTGAAAATCGTTATTTCTTAATCAGCACAAATTTGGTTTAAGTAACCAGTAGTGCATTGCTTTATAAAGTGGAGTGAAGTTTTGATATACATTACCTGTTTATTATGCAGTGTTTAGAGAAAAATACTACAGACATTACATAAACAGTTCATCCATCCTAAGAGATAGTACCCATAATTTAAGAATTTAGTTGTGTGAGACTTATTGTGGCTAGAAATACCTGCAGGGACTTTGTGTTTACACGTGAGTGGATGTGACTGCGCGGTGTCTGGTTGTTGCATTTTTAAATGCATTTTTGGCAAGTCTTTTCTCTGATATTGACCTTCATGTACAGGAAACACATTGCTTAGGTGATGTTCAAACATAAAAGCAAACATAAAAGTATTTAGATGCTGTCGAGATTTTCAAGAGTTAGAGTGTCCATAGATTGGTATTATTTTTTATATAAACATTGACACCTATTTCGTCCATCCAAATACAAACAGTACAAAATTACAGCATCCTAAAAAATAAAGATTGTGCCTTTCTAAGGTAATCCGTTCTAAATATCTGTTAAAAATTGAAAGGAAGAAGTATTATGATTTAATATGGCGTAATTTTTTTAACAGGTTGAATTAGCCAGAATTAAGTTTTCCATTTTGGCTGTTAAATAAAGACCTGTGACTAGATATACACCTTGGCTGTTGAACAATTGCTGCTGGGTACATAAACTGTCCACTATGATTTTATTTTGTGATTTTTGTTTGTACATACAAGTGCTCAGCCACCAAGGAGCCCTTTCCTTGAGTTTTTGTTTTCTTTAGGATCCAGATGCTATACTGCATAAGATAAGGCTTACTTGAGTGGCCACTGATGGGTGTGTTGCTTGTAGGCTGAGCGCATATGAACACTTTAATGCGTTGATAAGACTCCATGCTTCCCCTTTACAATGTTACTTTCTTTTTTCGCAGTTTTGAATTTTTTTGCCATTTTTCAATGTTCATATATGTCATTTGATTTTATTTATCCAGAAGATAATAGACTGTTTTCCGTGCACAGACTCCATATCATCTCTCAAGGTAGTCCATAACTCAGGGCTGTAATAATAACATAAAATAACATTTAGTTTTTTGTGTCATTTAAAAAATAATTTGATAAAATTCAATTTCCTGTCATACATTTTGCACCACTGGTCACAGTGCCCAGGAATTGGATCTTGAGATGGAAATAGTGTCCTTCCTGGAGCTGGTGCTCTTCACAATGGCTCATGGATGCACATTTCCACACTTGTTTATTGATCTAATTACCCACCAAGAGCTTTCTGCACTGTGTGAGTCATAGTTCCTGTCACCTGTCGTTGGCCTGCCGAAATTCTTATGATTGCCAGTTCCCATCACCTCAGCCCACAGCCAGAATTTTCCATGGTGGCATCTTCATATAACTTGCCCCTCAAGCCAAATTTTTTCATGACATGATGGCCATGTCATTCTGACTGTTGTGGTTTGACTTAGTTCAATTATTATTATTGATCTATGATTATATAAGATATTAAAATACTAATTGTTAAAAATTGGAAAGAATCTGAAAATCAGAGACATAGGTAAACGGTGAGATAGGAAGGAGTAAGCACTTGTGGGAGCCTTCTATGTGTAAAGCAACTGTAAACTAAAATACCAGTGACTGACATATAATATTGCCATCTCACGGCATCATAAGTAGATATAGGAACTTCAAATAAAATTTCGACTTTAGCTGCCTGAATAACAGGCTTGACAATGAACATTTCCAATATGAGAAGAAAGATTACAAAGAGGTTCAAAGCTTGATTTACCTTTGAGGGTTGTAAAGGTCTCTTGCAGATTGCGTGGGTTCCTTGAATTAGATGAATTAAGCCGAGAGAAAGATGTCTAATGTATATCAGCGAAGACATATATATAATAAGAACAATATTATATTATACTAATTGTAATATTATTATATAATATATATTAATATAGTATATATATCAATATTAATATATTAATATATATTTATTATTAGATATATTTATATTATACTAAGTTACTACTTAATTATATATTGTATTAATATCTATATATTTTATTTCGTAATTAATTATTAACTAATAACATATATTTATAATTATTTTAACTAATATATTATATTTATATTATATGGTGATTATATTATTATATTATGATCTAATATATTATTTATTATATATTATATATGGGTAATATCAAATGTATATTAACGTATAAATGGCATATATATTAAGTATTTTCTATACTCTATACTCTATTATCTATCTATATAAGTATATAGTTAGACTACGGTGTATTAAATATACTATAATATTATATAAATATATATAATATATAATATGTAAATATATATATATATATACTAATACTATATATATATATATAGTACTAACTATTATATGTTGGTGTATTGTATGTATTATGTATATTGTAATTGTGGTGATATTTGGGTATTATTTATAGCTTTGGTATATATGGGTGAATGATCTATGTATATATGGGTAGTAGTGTTTATATAGATGCTATATATATTTAGTATATACTATAGTTATTATCATATATTATATAATACATATATTAATGTATGATACATGCATACTTGTATATTATAAATATTAGTTAATTATATTACTATATATAGCTCGCTTATATATTATATATTAATATATATATAAATATATCATATAAAATATTAATGTATACAATATTACCAATGTATTAAATACTATAGTATATGAATAATATATAAAGTTACCTCGTGGCGGTATATATATATTAATATATAAATATAAATAAATATTTAATATATATATATAGGATTATAGGCTAGATATGATATGGATATATATTATATATCGATATATAAATATAGTATAATATGATATGTATATATAGTATATTATATTATTTTTATATTATATATAATATATATTTTCTTTATATATAGTATAAATGATTTATATAATATATAGTAGTAATTATTTAGTATAGTATATATAGTTATAATATCAGTATATTAATATTAGTATATATATATTTTTATTGTAATGTATGTATTGTATATCTGTATATATGATATAATTATATATATAAATTTATTATGTATTATGTATTGATATGTATATGTAAATGTATATAATACATATATAATATATACAATAAAATTTATAACATAAATTTTATTTTAACATAAAAAATTTACAAAATAAAAATACATATACATATAATATACATATACATTACATATCATATACTATACATATACATATACGATATACATATACATATACATATACATATACATATACATATAATATACATTATACATATACATATACTATACATATATATATACATATACATATATACATATACATATACATATACATATACATATACATATACTATATACTTCCATATAATATACATATACATATACATAACCTATACATATACATATACATTACATATACTATACTTATACTATTATACATATACATATATCATTACATATATATACATATACATATACATATACATATACATATACATATACATATAACATATTACATATACTATACATATACATATCATATACAAATCATATAATATAATATACATATACATATACATATACATATACATATACATATATTACATATAATATACATAATTGCAATATACATATACATATACATATACATATACATATACATATACATATACATATACATATACATAATATAATATATATATAATATATATATATTATATATATATATATATAGATATTATATATATATATATATATATATATATATATATGCATATATATACAGAAATATGGTTATTAGGTGGATATATAATAAATATGAGTGTATATTATACCATATAATAATATATATGTGGTGTATATATATATATATATATATATATTAATATATATACTTATATATATTAAATAAATAAATAAATTAAATACATATATCACTACTCATATAGTATATTATATATATATATATATATATATATGTATATACATATATACTTATATTATATATATATTATATATATATATATATATATATATATACATATATACATATATACTCATATATATACATATATATATATATTATTATATTATATATATATATATATATTATATATATATACTACATACAGATACATATATATCCTATATATATATATATATGATATATA